AAATACTTAGATGCTTCTGAGTTGAATTTAGAGTAGATTATATTACTTTAGCTCATTGGGCTGAATTTTAGATCTTTGCTTATTCATTAGGTATCTTTGTGATGGACATTTGAAAATGGTGGCATTCTAAAGAACCTGACAGTAATCAGAGCCTGAAATTTACAGGAACGAAGAGCTAAAATTAGCACTAACTAGCTGAGAAAGATAGTTCTACTAGCACATAAACAGGCTTAATGTGATTCATAAAGTGCAGGAAAAAGTCACCGTTTCTCTGAGAAATACTTTCATATTTTTCATAATTCAAAGTAGTATGTTGATCCATTTTAGGTCAACTTCAGTTTTTTGAACTTTGATTTTATCTATAATAAATGAATTTTTTTATTATTGCATATTTTGTTTGGATCAACCATTACATTACATTGATTTTTATTTAGAAATAACTATGAGGGTTTTTTAATATTGTGTTACGTAGATGATTTGTAGTACGTCAGCATAAGAAGGTTGGGTTGTGTTAAACCTTTTTTAAGTCCTTTAGTTACTGAGTTTTATAGTATATTCTTGAAAGCATGGTAATGTAACTTTAGGCTGTGTTATAGACAGCCAAGCATAAGGATTTGTCAAGCAAAACAAAATACTTAGCAGTAATCAAAATTATCTTAAGAGAATAGTACATAGCCTATTTATGATCCATTCTTGCTTTTGTTTTAGTAATGAATGAATTGAGAACCTACCCAGGAATTTTGCTTGAACGATGAGTGTTCTGTAAGTGGTTTGTTTATTGGGTACTTGGTACTAAGTATTATATTGTGTGCAAGGTGTGTTTAAGTTTCATTTCCCCTCAGAAATCTTGTAAAAATAGACATTCCTATTTAATCACTGAGGAAATAGGCCTAGTATAATAGTAAGTCTAAGTTGAATTAAAAGTTAGTATTCCAAATTGATGCTGAACCTTAAAATAGCTCTTTTTAGTTGCTCATCTTCATTAAAGACAGGTAATTAAGCTGTATTTTTTAGGGGTGTGTGTGTGACCAGTTATACATTTTACACTAGTACATGATAATCTCAAGGCATTGTTGAAGTAAGTATACAAAGTTAAATCAAACTCTGCCATCGAGTTTATTCTCACTGACATAAGAACTTAGATGACAGTATAGAATTGCCTCAGGCTTTCTGAGACTAAATCTTTACAGGAGTAGAAAACCTTATTATCATTCACACATCATAGAGTTGCTGATTATTTCAAAGTGTTGGCCTTGTGGTCAGCAACCCAACAATGCATGCCACCAAATTCTTCATACTAAGCTAAGGTCTAATCCATCTTGTCTGTTGGAATAAGTGGAGCTGGGGTGCACCTTAGAGGCACATGTGTTCCGAGACTTTGCTTCATGTACTTTAGGCATTTTTTTCAGGGAGAATCAGGAAGACCTTCAACAAGGGCTGGCACCGTGGCTACAACATTGGAGTCAAACATAATTAATTGTGAGGATGGTGCTGGATGGGGGTACAGGTTGTTCGTAGGCTCACTATGAGTTGAGACTGAATGGATATCACCTAGAAACAACAATCCCAAATCCCTGAGTGGTGTAAATGCTTAATATGCTTGACTGTAGAGGGTTGAAGGTTTAGGACAACTCGGAGGTGCCACAAAAAAAGGTCTAGTGATCTACGCTGTGTGCAGGACAATTCTCCCTTGACAACATGGGGTTGCCATGAATCCACATAGACTCAATGGAAACTGACATACCTTAACTCATTACCAGCAGCTAGTCAATACCAGTCTTGACTCATTGTAACTAAGTTAGCAGCCCAACACCTAATCTACAGTGCCACCAAGGATCCTTTTACCTACCAAAAAGAAAAATTGCCAAAAAAGATGATAGTTGGCATGTCCGTACATTTCGGTGTAAATTGGCTCTTCCAGGCAACAAGGATAGTCACCTTTAATTTTTGAATTTAAGGGGAATTATCCATTTATGTTTTCCCATTTATGGCTTTTAAAGCTGTTGCCTTTCGATAAACTGAAAAGGATTTAAAACCCAATTGTTTTCTATTAGAACGGGAGTCATAGAACCATAACTAACAGTGATAGTTACCGGTAGATATGATTTACCATATGAGCATATGAAAGTTTTTCTTGTCCTTCCTGGATTCTTTTAACCTCTTCCATGCCAAGACGATTTGTTATTTTCTAGAAAACAATTGCTGTTCTTTGTAAATATATTCCCTGCCTATGTCCTTGCTTAATGTGGTTTACAGATCTTTCAGAATAATCCTTTTTGGTTGTCAATTGAAGTGCTATCTACCACTTATATGAGATCTGATTTTTTTATTCTTGCCGTTATTATAATATGTATTGAACACATGATATAATCTCAACCCTTGAGGTCTGCAAGTCTCATTTGCAACCTAATCATCAATCACAATACACATATGGTTAATTTAAGAACAAAAGTTTTTAGCTTTGACCAGTTTACTCAGTGATATTTCTGGAACTTTAGAATAAAAATTAAGAGGTGTATGTTATAATCTTCTTTCCTTCTGTAGTAGTCATAGCTTGCTTATTTTCTGTGCTAATGAATGGTGTAATTTCCTATATTCTACTAGGTGATAATTCTGGAATTTAAACAGATAATTTCTTTCTTTTTTTTCCTTTCTTTTCAGATAATTTCTTTTGTACAACTTTTGAAGGGCTTATACTGAAAGTTCTGGCTTCTGAATTTTGTTGGTGTGACTTTGTACTGGAAAGCAAACATTGAAAATAAAAATGTAGCCGGTTTTATTTCCACTTAATTCAATTCTTGTAGTTGTAGGAAATGTTCCAGTATATTAAGTGAAGGAAGAGGAGCTTAGTTATAGATATATTAATAGTAGTTAAATTCTTGTGTCTTATTTAATTATCCATTCCTCTGCTTTCTAGTACTTAAGTCTTGCACATAAGTTATGTCGTTTCTTTTTGTTAAAATTGAATCCCAAACATTACTACCTCTTTATGATTTGTCTTACCAATGTGTGCAATACAGTAAACTATAAGATTTTAATTTGAAAATATTAAAGGCAGCAATGTTATTAACATTATAGTGCTATTTTTAGCTTTTGATGATTATTGGCTGCATTATTAAGGTGGGACTATTCCTACTTCTAAAAGTAGTTTCTTTCGGAGTTGGAATCTTAAGAGTGTAGCTTGCTTTGGATGCAATTTGTTGAGTAAAAAATGAGATTAAATGGTTAAGATACCTGGTTAAGATGAGATTAAATGGTTAAGATACCTCTCCTATGGAGAGGTTTTTTAAGTGGAAATGGTCAGATTTAAAGGAGCCTGCAGACATAGTAGAGTATAGGAAGAATAAGATGGAAATAAGGACCAAAGATTGTCTGAAAATTCAAAAAATCCATTTAGATGAATATCAAGAATAGCCTTGTTAAAATTCTTAAGCTCTGAAAGTATCCAACTACAGTTGCTTAAACTTTTAAGTGGAGAGCTTTTGTACATGTAATTAAACACATGTACACTTTTTTGAACCCTAATCAAGATGATTGTCTATGTGTTCATTAAACAAATATGTCTTCCATATTTCAGGCACCGTACTAAGGTTGCTTATGATTATATGTGCTAATGGTTGCTATGGTCAGAATGGAAGCTATGGCAGTGAATTTGTTTTTGTCTTTGATTTAATGGTAGTGTTGGGAGGGTCTTTTAAAAAATTCATGGAAAATGAGGATAAAAGATAATAGGTTTTTTTTTCTGCAAACTTTTTGAAACCCCTTGTATTAATGTGGGAAAAGATTTGCATGTCTGTTAGGGGATGGAGTAAAATCTACTGGAACAGTTGACTATTACACTTACATGACCCACCATTTTCTCTCTTGGTATAGGAACTTAGTGATTTGGCCCGTGATCCTCCAGCACAATGTTCTGCAGGTCCAGTTGGGGATGATAGTAAGTAACTTTCAAGTTGTTTTTTGTGCCTAATTTCAAAAGAATGTGTGCATTTTTAAATAATAAATGTTTTTCTTTTTCTAGTGTTTCATTGGCAAGCCACAATTATGGGACCTGTAAGTATCCATTTTTAAAATTTGGCTTTAAGGATAAATGACCGATTTGATTATCATTTTTAACCTGGTCTTTAAGTTTATTTCATTATATAGTTAATCTATTTTTGTTATGCCCTGGCTGTATTGTTATTTTGAAAGAGAAACAACATTTTTAATATGGATAGAAACTATATGCTATGTAATTTAAGTATTCAGAATATAGGTACCAATTAAGAGAATCAGATCCCAATAAAAGATCCAGCAGTATGACTGTATATTTTGAACAATGCTTAATATTTCCATGGTGTAATAGTTATGCATTGGGCTGTGATCCTCATGGTTGACAGTTTGAAACCACTAGTTGCTCCTAGGGAGAAGCTGGTGGTTTTTTACTACTGTAAACAGTTAACCATTTCGGAAACTCAAGGTTGCTGTTCTGCCCTGTCCTTTAGGCTCGCTGTGAGTTGGCATTGCCTCAATGGCAGTCAGTTTGGTTTGATTTCTGACTTAGAAGACAGTCTAGGATTATATATGACATACCTTCCTGAAAAAATTGTGCTCCCATTGTATTTTGCTGGTTTACCTTTAGATAAACAAATAATGTATGAGATGGGCTAATGGTTAATAGTAGAGGTTTCTAAAATTCTAAAGGAAGAAATACCCAGCAAAGGGTTAGCCAGTGGGAATGGATTCGGTCAACGAGTATTTTTTTTCCTTGTGATAACTATAATGTGTGTCAAGTCTCTCCTCCCCCTTGCCCCCTTCCATTAACAAATGTAAGTGCCTGCTGTTTTTTAGGCATAGGACAAAGTGAGCTTACTAGTTATGACTTCTGTCGATCCTTAGGGAATCTTAAAATCTAGTTGAAGTTGACAATTTTAGAACAAGGGTGAAATCAGAGTAAATGAAAAATTAGTGTCAAGAAGAGATTTATGAAAAATCAAACGTGATAAAACTTGTTTTTTTGTTAGCTGCAATCAAGTTGGTTTAGAATCTTCCTCTTTTTCATTGATCTACAATCAATACTCATGGGAGCAGCAGTGGGTAAATCTGCTGCACAAGACCTCTTTAGTAAAGCAAGAATGTTACTTTGAGGACTAAGGTGTGCCTGACCCAAACTATGGTATATTTCAATCACCTCGTGCATGTGAAAGGTTGGGCATTAAATAAAGGAACATCAAAGAATTGTCAATGCATATGTAAAGTACTGTGGACTGCCAAATGAACAAACAAGTGTGTCTTCGAAGAAGTATGGCCAGAATTCTCCTTAGAGGTAGGAATTGCAAGGCTTTGTCTCATGTACTGTGACCATGTTATATTAGAGAGAAGACCACTCTACAAAAGGACATCATGATTGCTAAAGTAGAGTGGCAGTGAAAAAAGGCGGTCCTGGTCAAGATGTGCTGACTTCAAGGCACATTTGTTTGTTCTTTTGTGTTTCCAGGACTAACTTTATCAGAGATTCATCTCCCTCAGAGCTGGCTGATGGTTTTGAACTGATGACCTTGGGGCTAGCAGCCCAACTCGTAACCACTACATCTGAGTCTCTGGTATATTCAGTGTTCTTTGCCAATTGCATATTTCAAAGATAGCGAAGAGTCGGTTTGGGCTTTATTCATTATCATCTTCTATATGTGGATGAGGTGCTTGAAAATGTTTACAAATGGCTTTTTTGCCATAGACTTGCCCAGTGCAATATGTAATTTGATTTATTGATTGCTGCTTGCATGGCCATTGATTGTGGATCTAGGTAAGATAAAATCCTTATCTTTATTAGTAAGTGCTTCCATGTTCTCTACACTTTTCAGTAAGCAAGGTTGTTTCTGTTGCAGATTGTTAATGAATCTGTCTCCAATCCTATGAGCTCCTCATATTAATTATAGTAAAAGCATATCACCTTGATGTGCTTCCTTATTGTGAGCCCTGCAATATCTCCTTGTTCTATTTGAACTACTGCTCCTTGATATATGTACAAGTTCCACAGGAGCATAACTCTTTTATGAATGAATTATTTTCTACTTTGACTTTTTAGTTGAGACTGTTTTCATTAATAGAGTGGTGGTTCTACTTTTAGATAATACATATTTGATGCTGTTAAATGGTAGAATATGTCCTAAGGGGACTGATGGGGTAGGATTTGTAAGCGAAGCCTGTTCCTCAAATTCATGCAGTTATAAAGGTACACATGAAACCCACATGGTAGCACATAGTACAACTGAAATAGCATCTCCCAAAGAACCTGACAGGATAAAAATGGATGGTGGTTGATATATGCCCCAGAGATCACCAAAGGGTGAAATGTTCAGAAATTCCTATTCTTTGCACTTTTGTCCGTGATTTCACAACAATCCACAGTTGTCTCTTTGTGTAGTCAATAAAATACCGATGAACATCTTTCTGGCATTCGCTGCGTTTTCAGCTAACATCTGTCTGACATCACTAGTGATAATCCATATATTGTGTTGTTTCTTAGATCCAGCTTGAATTTCTGGCAGTCCCCAATCAGTGTATTATTGCAACAGTTTCGGAGTTATTTTTAGCAAAATTTACTTGCATGTGATATTAATAGTAATTGATCAATATTTTTTGCATTCTTTTGGGTCATCATTGGAATAGGCACAATTATGACCTAGTCCAGACAATTGGCCGGGTAGTTTACTTGCAAAAATCTTGTAACAGACACAAATGTGCCTTAAAGGTGTAATTGAAACATCTCACTTGCTATTTGGTCAACTTAAGCCTGGTTTTTCACTAATCTTTTCAGTGCAAATTGACCATTGTTTCCTTCAATACCATTGTTTGTTGATTACATGCTACCTCATATATTTGTACTCAGTTGATTTTGAGTAAGTAGTTCCATGTATTCCTTGCATCTTATTTTTTTCTTTTCCCGTTCACATTCTGTGAATTAGGTGAAGGCTTACAGAACAGATCGTATGCTTTAGGTTCAACAGCTTATGTACCTTTTGTTTTCAACTCATCCATTGCAATCCCCTCGATGTACCCTCATATATCCCACTGCATTCCTGACTTTCCTGTTCTTTCCCTCCTTTCCTAACCCTCTGTACTTTGTGCTTGGATAACATTGTCTTTTGTTCATTTGGTTATTTTAACGCCCATCTTTAGTTGATGCTTCTTTCCTCATTCAGTATTTTGCCCATAGACCTCTTAAATCTTGTGGGCAGAATTTGTTGCCAGTTCGTTCATTCAGCTTAAGAAATGCTAGGTGTGTTCTTACCTTTTTGCACTTGGCATTATAATATTTTTGTCTCTTCAAACTACTCTCTGAAATCTTCTTTTCAGCTCTTTTACTTCAGCATTTCATTTACTTAAGTTAGTCTATATTCAAGAGCAAATTTCGAGTCTTCTGGTAAATATTTTGGTCTTTTATTTTTTACCTGCCTTTTTAATGACCTTTCGTGCTTGCTTCATATATGATGCCCTTAGTGTCACTCTACAATGCACCTGGTCTCTAGTTATGAGCATTAAATGCCTTGTCTATTTTTGAGATGGTCTCTAAATTAAGGTGTATATACTCAAGTTGTATTTTGGTACTCCTGGACTTCATTTTCATCAGTTTCAACTTGAACTTAACATGAACGTTGATGGCCTATTCGGGTATCAATCGCTGGATGGCTCTTTACCACATACAGAGTAGACTTGATTTCTGTGTATTTGATCTGACCAGGTCCGCATGGATATTGCCATTTATGTTGTTGAAAAAAGGAATTTCCCAATGAATAGGTCATCAGGCTGGTAGTATTTCTCTACTACTGATCCCTTCTTTCTTTCCAACTGTTGCATTTCATTCACCAGTAAATATCAATGTACCTTGATTTGAGTTTTTGATCCATTTCAGACTGCAGAGTTTTGTAAAAATCTTCAATTTCTTCATCTTTAGTATTACTAGATTGTGCCTACATTTGAGTAACGGTCGTATTAATTGGTCTTTCTTACAGTCCTAGACATTAATTACCCTGTCAGTGACAATGTGGTACTTAAGGATAGATCTTGAATTGTTATTTTTATGATGGATTGGCACTATTTCTTTTTAACTTGTTGTTTTTGACACAGTAGACCGTAAGAGTGTCTGATTGCAAATTGTCAATACCAGTCCATTTCCTGAGATGATGAAAGGTGCAATTTCCTTTTTTCCAACTTTCTAAGTTTTCCCACGTCGTGCATTCCACATGGATGTTTGCAGTTGTTTCTTCTTACTTTGAGTCCTGCCCCATCAGCAAATGAAGATCCCCAAAGCATACTCCAGCCACATCCAGTGGCTCTTTCCCAGTCCTTTTGAGCGCTTTTCAATCATAGGTCCTTAGCTTCTAACACAGTGCCCTGCCTTTCCACACGTCCCCACCCCAAGGAGCTCAAATAAGATCCTTCAGTGTTTATCTGGAACGGCAACTAAAACCCTGATGGTATTTCTAATATCGGTTGCCTAGCTTCCAGCCTCACAACACACAAAGCTATCATGGTACAACCAACTTAACAGACTACAAATACTGTATGTACTGGTGTATAAGCCGAGTTTTCAGCACATTTTTTATGCAGTTTTTGTGGTAAAATTAGGTGTCTCAGCTGATACTTGGGTCGGCTTACACTCGAGTATATACGGTAGTTAAGTAACTGATAGTTCAGCCAGTTGGGTCTGTGTATTGTTGGGGGAATAATTGTCAGTCTTTATGTAAGAGCCATCTTGACTGGACCCTTGTTTCTATATAAATATGCAAGGCTATATGCCAGCTCATAAACAGGAACTGTTTACAAGGTTACAAGTAACCTTTACTGTGAAGTACATCAGTCGAAGAACTCAAGTAGTAATTATTTTTACCTTTGGTGCATCTTTGTGACATGGCATCACAGGGTAATTAAGTAAACATTAGTTTATTCACCCATGTGGGCATGCAGTTGTATTCCAGGAAAGTTGAGTCCGTGGTGCCATAACACTCTATAGAGAATGGATTTTCTTGGAAAACTGGATAGTGACAAAATTAAACTTACCTTGGAGTATTTTCTCAGATTAATTGAAGTAATAGCAATGTCACAGAATTAAGATTGCTGATGTTCTAATAATTGTAGGCTCTGATTTATTAAAAAATAGTGTTTTGTCCAAAGTTCAAAATGTCAATCATAACTATCTGAGTTTCCATTTCTTTTTTGCTCATACTCGTGGATCTGCAGAAATAATGCACAGACCTTTCAGTACATTAATAGGTTGTAGTTGGGGAAATTCTCTTTGATCATTAACGTTATGAAGCAAAAAGTGTTTCTTAATTTGAATGGTACACAGGAAGCACAAATACAGGTAAAATCTTTGATGTGATTTCATAAGATTTTATAAGTTTTTTGATAAGAATTGATGGATAGCTTGTATATGTGCTATTTCAAAAAAAAGTATAGTTCCAGTATGAATGATGCAATGGGAAGAAATTAACCTCCTTACATACTGCAGCTGGTATTTACATGCTTAATTTTACTTTAATTGGAAATGAAGCTGGCAGAGATAATGTTAAAATTATTTGGAGACCCAAGCTAACTTGCTTGTGTATCGCATAGCCACAGGAGAAAGCACTTTATTTGAATATTATCTTTGGCAGCAAAACAACTCTACGAAGCAGTTAGCCTTTATACACATGAAGTCTCCATGATTTCTATTTGACCCAATAGCAACTGGTTTGATTTGGGTGTGGGGGGAGGTATTGATGGTTAAACATTGAGTTTAGTAGGTTTTAATCAGAAGTGATGTGTCTTAGGCCAGTTCATTATTGTAGGAGGGATAAAGTGTCGTTAGTGGTAACGAGCCAGAGTGAAGGCAGGTATACCAGTAGTAAGTTATTTCTATGTTGATAAGTACCATTGAGTCAGTTTTGATTCATAGTGAGCCTCTATATACAACTCCCCAGTCCTGTGCCACCCTCAGTCTTTTGTTACTGCTTGTGATGGTTTCTTTACTGTGTAAATCCATGGCATGGAGGGCCTTCCTATTTTTCAATGACCCTCTACTTTGTGAAGCATGAGATCTGACTTTAGGGATTGTCCCCGCCAGATAACTTGACCAAGGTACATGACCATCTCACACCTTGTAATGAACCATCCATCTACATGTCTACGCTACAATAAAATTTAATGGACTTTTGTATAATGACACTAAAATATTTTCATCTTATACATTTTTGAGCAAACGGACTTCGAATAGTCTATAAATCTTACTGAATCGCCTTTATTTGAGCCATTTAGCCATAGCACTTGATTTTGTGAAGGGAGGGGGAAAGATTAAACAAAACTCTTCCAACAACTGGGTTTTATAAAAGCTTTAATGTTGGATATTATCTTCAGTATTAACCTGCTTGTAAAATTGTATGCTATTTCAGTTCTTGGAATCCTCATAATATGTGTTGTGAAAAAGAATTATGTTCTCTATTCAAGGTCTGTTTAATAGAACAGATATAATATTGATAGTAATCCAGTTACTATAAATTTTTTATTGTCTTCAGAGGCAGTTAGGAAATTTTCTAAATTCCTATCACCTTTATTTTTGAGCAAGCCAGTATCTTTTGCACATCACCTTTGATCACCTTCATCTTAGTGGCCTTCAAAAGAATCTAGGCTTGGATAGTCATTCGATCCTTTATTGTTCACTTGACATAATTCTAAGTGTATTTTACTCATTTTAAGCACATAATGATA